CACCTACATGCCCAACCAGTTCAACCACGACACGCAGGACGAGGCCGGGCTGGAGGTGCACCAGTTCTGGCCGCTGGTGGAGATCCAGTGCTCCCCGGACCTGCGCTTCTTCCTCTGCAGCATGTACACCCCCATCTGCCTGTCCGACTACACCAAGCCGCTGCCTCCCTGCCGCTCCGTCTGCGAGCGGGCCAAGGCCGGCTGCTCGCCCATCATGCAGCAGTACGGCTTCGCCTGGCCCGAGAGGATGAGCTGCGACAGCCTGCCTGTTCTGGGGGACTCCGAGGTGCTCTGCATGGGATACAACCACACGGAAGCCACCACCCTGCCACCTTTCTTCGGGAAGCCCACGCGCCCTGCCAAGGATGTGGCCAAAAACCTGACACCGCTCGATGGCCAGCGGCCCTCGGGGCTGGACTGTGGTCAGACTTGCAAGTGCAAAGCGCCCCTGATCCCCATCTCCAAGGAGTCCCATCCACTCTACAACCGCATCAGGACTGGGAAGGTACTGAACTGTGCCATCCCCTGCTACCAGCCCTACTTTACCCAGGATGAGAAGACCTTTGCCACCTTCTGGATTGGCCTCTGGTCCATCCTCTGCTTCCTCTCCACCTCTACCACTGTGGCCACCTTCCTTATTGACATGGAGCGCTTCAAGTACCCTGAGCGCCCCATCATCTTTCTCTCTGCTTGCTACCTCTTCGTCTCTGTGGGCTACATCGTGCGTCTGGTGGCAGGGCATGCCAACGTGGCTTGCAACCCGGAGCACCACCACATCCATTATGAGACCACGGGCCCTGCTCTCTGCACCGTGGTTTTCCTTCTCCTCTACTTTTTCGGCATGGCCAGCTCCATCTGGTGGGTCATCCTGTCCCTCACCTGGTTCCTGGCAGCTGGCATGAAGTGGGGCAATGAGGCCATTGCTGGCTACTCACAGTACTTCCACCTGGCTGCCTGGCTCATCCCCAGCGCCAAATCCATTGCTGTACTGGCACTCAGCTCCGTGGATGGTGACCCGGTGGCTGGGGTTTGCTATGTGGGCAACCAGAGCCTGGAGAACCTGCGGGGCTTTGTGTTGGCACCACTAGTGGTTTATCTCTTCACTGGCAGCCTCTTCCTGCTGGCTGGTTTTGTCTCACTCTTCCGCATCCGCAGTGTGATCAAGCAGGGCGGCACCAAAACTGACAAGCTGGAGAAGCTGATGATCCGCATCGGCATCTTCACCGTGCTCTACACTGTGCCCGCCACCATCGTCATCGCCTGTTACATCTACGAGCAGCACAACCGGGAGGCGTGGGAGCAGGCGCAGAACTGCTCCTGCCCGGGGGACCCTCACCGCCCCAAGCCTGACTATGCCGTCTTCATGCTCAAGTACTTCATGTGCCTTGTGGTGGGCATCACCTCCGGTGTTTGGATCTGGTCTGGGAAGACACTCGAGTCCTGGAGGCGCTTCACTGCCCGGTGCTGCCGGGCTAGAAAGCCTGTGGGCGCCTCTGTGTATGGTGAGGCCAGCCCGGCGCTGGCGGGCAGGACGGTGCTGCCCAGCATGGCCTCCTACCACAAGCAGGTCCCACTGTCCCACGTGTGACCGGAGGGAGCCTCAGTGACCCCAGCCACAGGGAGGAGAGGGTTGCAAAGGCCACAGGAGAGGGAGTGAGAGCTGGGCCAGCCCTGGCACCCTCAGCTCCACTGTGGCAGTGCTGCCTGGGACCAAGTGTGTGCGCCCACGGGTCACGGAGCAGCTGCGGCCCCAGGCAGGGCAGGGAGAGGTGCTGCCAGCGATGTGGGGGCAGAGGGACAGGGACACCTGGAGCCTGGCACCGCCATGTACACGCCATTTGGGAGTCCAACACCCTGGCTAGGGTCCTGGGGTGCTGCTGCCTGTGGACCAGTCTGGTGGCAGGTATCCCTCGAGCATTAATTTGTATCTCACAACAAGCCTCTGAGCAGGTCTTGCTGGTGCCAGGCTGAGGGGCAGAGCTGCAGCAGGCGGGGTGGATGGTGGCCCCTGACCCCAGGTGGTGCTGGCACTGGCACTGAGCCGCTCACCAGAGCCTGGAGGGTGTGAGGGGGCTGGGGAGAGCCGTCAGGGGGGCTGCCTCCCTGGGCCCCCAGAGTGGTGCCCCCGGGACCCCCGGAGCCCCCAGGCACAGCTGTGTACTGCAGAGGAGAGGGCTGAGGGCCCCTGGCTGAGGCAGCCGCTGGCCCGCCCGGGCAGCAGCTCAGGCTGAGCGGGAGGGAAGGAGCTGCACGGGCCGGGGGCTTCGCAGGTGGTGGCGGTGCAGGAGGAAGGGGCCGTGGAGAGGATCTGTCACGCAGCCCTCAAGGCAGGCAGGGACAGGGTCCCAACCGTCTGCAGTGCAGGCGGGGACCAGGGGACCCCCATGGTCCCTTCTGCCCTGGGCAAGCATGTACAAGCTCCCCTCCATGCAAGGGGCTCAGGGCCGGGCAGGAGCTGGTGCTGGTGGGGCTCAGCTCCGCGGAAGCGACTCCCTGCTCATCCCTTGTGATGGGCAGCTCCACTGCCCATGGAGCAGCCCCGGAGAGCCGTGGGGCTGCATGGGTGATGAGGTTGCTGTCCCAGCACAGGGCTCACAAGGAGCCCTGGGCAGCACCAGCTCTGGCTCCAAGAGCAGCATTCTCCTGAGCTGCCGTGTGCTCTGGGAAGGGGCTGGTGCTGCTCCGCACCTCTCGCCTCTGCAGTGGGATGAGTTTCTCATGTCTCCCTCGTGCTGTGTGGGTTACCTGGGGCAAGGTGAGCAGGCCTGGTGCCCTGCCTACCAGCTTGCCAGCTGTGGCATGTGGCACAGCAGCTGAGCGTGGCACAACCAACCCTAAAAGGGGGGTTGCATCCCTGCAGAGAGTAGTGTCTGCACGGGGCGTGTTTCTGAGCCAGGCTGTGTCTCCTGAGCAGCAGCTGGGTTTTCCAGCCAGTTGGCTTCAATACTTCTTGCTCCTTTTTTCAAAGCTGTGCGTCTGCCGGAAACAGTGCCAGGTTTGAGAGTGTGCAGTTAATTTGGGAAAATTTAGCTAAACGCTTGTGCTTCTTTACTTCCAACTTCCCAAGCCTTCTTCCCTTCCCCAGATCAGGCAGCAGCTGAGCACTGACAGAACCAGTGCCTGGCATGAAGCAGTGGTGACAGCTGGGTGTCGATAAGTAGAATAATGGCGGGGGGACCCTGTTGTCAATGTCACCGAACAGAGCAAGGGCAAGGGGCTCCAGCTGTGGCATGGGGTGAGGCACAGCTGGCAAGAAGTGGCTGCTTCTGGCTTCAGACCACTTGGGAAAGCACCCAGTTTTTAATTTATTTCTTTTTTCCCTGCCCTAAGTAGTGTGTAACCGTCCAGCCATTACTCAAATCCTTTTTGCCCTCCTTCAAGCGTGGCACTGTGACCCGGCTGCTCAAGCACTGGAGAACAACTGCTGGCTTTGCTCCCACGGGACTGCAAGGATCTGAGGCTGTTCTGAACACCCTTGGACCATTTCAGTCAAAAAGGTTTCCACCTCACTTTAAAACCAAAGCCTGAGAAGTGAGGAGACACTCAAGTGGCACATCTCTTGATAAAGGTACTGCCAAGGTACCACATGAGTGTCTCTGTGGCTTCCAGGCCAGAGGAGCCAACAGTGCAGGGACTGAAGGCACAGCAGGGACTGTTCAGCCGCACATATCTGCACTCTTGTGACAGGGCTCGCTCCCTCCAGTGTGTTGCAGTACTTTATTGTGGACAGAATTGCACCATGTTGTGATACAGACTGTAAATTTTTGTATTATAGCCCAGCTTGTACATACAGGAGCTGTAGTGACCTTTGATACGGGTTAGGGACAGGTGTGTTCTCAGCAGTGAGGCAGGTCAGGTACAGAGACACTGTGGATAGTCTCGTGTTGTAATCCAGGGCATTAAATGATTCCAACCTGCTCCAGTCCACCTTGCTGGACTCCTCTCTTTCTATAGTGCCTTTTGTAGATACAGCTAAACACACATCATGCAATACAATGAACAAAACCATGTCAAAGGTGGTATTTTGTTGTTTTTGTTTTTTCCAAAGTGCAACTGACTGTGTAAAGAGATCCAAGATTAGCTACAAACTGTTGCCTGTTGAAAAATGCGCGAGCATTTCAGTTTGATCCTTTGGTAGGGTAATACAAACTCGTGTCTGAGTTGCTGGCTTCTCAGCAACAAGTGGCAGGAGTGGGGAAGGAGCTGTTGCTGTGTGCCCTGTCTGCTGTAGCCAATTTACATGTCGGGTTTTGCCTCTTGTTACTGATGCTTTTCAGTGTCTAAATTACTGTACTATATTTTGTGAAAAGCTGAAGAAATTTTATTCAAAGAGAAGTATCAAGATTAGTTATTTATGAGGACAAAAAAAATCAGTGTGTGTTGTTTTCTTTTCTTTTGCTTCTGTTAGAATATTAATGACCTTAAAAACTGAGCTGTGGGGGGGACTGGGAGGCATGTGGTGCAGGGGCTGTGCAGGGTTCTTATTACTGGGGATCATGGGGAACTGGTGAGGCAACTACACTTGCGTGGCACAGGAATAGCATGTTCCATGTGCAGAAACCCCACGCATGGCTGCCCTTGGCACAGAGGATGTCACACACCCGTGCCCTCAGCACTGGCATGCTGTGGCCCACCACGGCACCGAGGTCCCAGCCTGGATCTGCACTGGGTTCATCCCCAGGGGGGCTGTGCTGGCTGTGCTGTTGGCTGTGCCCATGACCTCGCCGACAGCACCTTTCCCTGACAGGCCAAGGTCACACCTCGCTGGTAAAAGAGGGTTAACTATCAACTTTTATTGGCGTTCTGCAGTTTGCACAGTATCAGTCCCTCGCCCTGTGCTGAGATCAGGCCCTGAAGAGGTGCCCTTTGATACTCTTCAGGCCAAGCAGATGACAGTTCTTAGCCAAGCAGGATGCTGTGTGCCAATTTGGGTGTTCTTGTTGCCATCTGCTGTGCAATCCCTCCTGCTGGGAGGAGCACTTTAGGAGTGAGAGCAAGGGGTTAAGGCTGGCTCCACAGTGACTAATGGTGCAGGACTCTGCTATCTAGTTAGGTGTGTAGGCACACACCAGGTCCCACTAGATAGGATCTCTTATTGGAAGCAGCCCCACAGCTTGACTCACCTGATTCCTCGGGGATCTGCCCCCCCCCCCCGTGCTCAAGTGCAGGCAAAACACACTGTTGAGGCTAATCCTATCACTTGAAGGGCAACAGTTTTGGGGTGTAGAGGAGACATGCACCATTTCAGCATCAGATTCTTCCCAACATGTTGTGGACACTTGCTGCCTGCTTCCATTGCCTTGCTGGTAGCCTTGTCATTGCTGCCTCCCAGGAAGCTGTTGTGTCCTCAGCTCCTCAGTAAACAGGAGTTTGGCAGCGCTGCCATGCACCGCCTACCTAAAGCCATGGTTTCCCAGCAAGGGAAGGGCCTTTCCTGTAGGGAGCCGTGTGACTCACCTGCAGGACTGTTCCTGTGAGCACCTGCGTGATCACACACAGCCCAGCCTAATGTTTGTGCTGCCGTGTCTCTCCTGTGCTTTCCATGTTCCACTTGGTCAACTTAGGCCAGCCTCGAGGTTCAGCAGTGCAAACGTAGCACAGTTTCAGGCTGGGATGGCATGGGGACCACCTGGCTTTTCAAATAGGTTTTTATATTATAAAGCAGAAGCCCAAGAAGTTATTTCACCTAGAAAATGCCTTGTCCATGAAGGCAGCCTGACTTCTCTAATTCTAAAACAAACAGGCCCATGCTCAGCCAGGTAAGTGCTCTTTTGGTAGCTAGTCAGTTGAGAGGGGGTAGGTGTGAGTGAGTGCACTACAGTCACTTCGGCAGCACCCTGTAATTCACTTTATGTTGTCAAACAACTTATTTGGTGCAAGTGTAGTTTTCCCAGATAACAATACGGAATGCCAGTCCTGTGTAATGCTCTTGCACTACTGTGCTGTGGGAAATTCGAGCACAGGACAGGGGCTGCAGCCTGCCCAGTGCTGAGCTCTGAACTCAGTAGTTCACCTTGCCCCGGGCATGCCTGCCAACCCCTTGTGCAAGCTCTTGCCTCAATTGCTCTTCTGTCCTCTTCTGCTTGCTCAGGTTATGCTTGATGCCTCTACTCTTATCCAGAAGCAATGGTCTTGACATTTATTCCCTCCCTCAAGTGCCTGTCCTCTTAATTGCCAAACCCATGGTGAAGTAGTTCTCATAAAATTCCCTTGGAAACAAAATACACAGTCCCTGTACACAAAGGGGAAGGGCTGCTGAAGCCCAAGGGCATCATGCGGCCCACAAACACCTCCATGGCTTCCTGCCCCTGCTGACCACCAATCTGCTGCTCCTGTTATTCTTGTTAGTGCTCACATTTCTCTTGCTGGACCACAGCACAGCTATTGTCTCTACAAACAGCATTTAGTGCCAGAGGGGGAACTGAAAGCAGGCAGCGGTCACCCCAATGTAAATTAAATATTATTCCGCTGTGGGGTTAAGAAAAACAAGGTACACTGATTCTTTAGGTGGTTGCCCTTCCCTGGCAGCAGAGGTAGGTAACAGTCTCTGTAATTCCAGTTTTCTAACCACAAAGGTAATTTTTCTTTTGCCTCTTTGAGAGAAGTGCTGACAATATATTAAGAATAGTGCAAGT